CATTTGGGGATGGTCTGGGGACGAATGTATATGCGGATACGGTCCTCGGGGGTGTATGCAATCGATGCGCATTCGAACGCAGGGGAGGATTCACCGCTTCGTTGAATCGTAACGGATATGGGGATCTGACTACGCGTTTCTCCTCGACGCATCGATCGATTTGCCTCATTCATTAGGCATTTCAGAATGTCTATATTTCTTAAGGGACGAATCGCCAAGGTTAACCCCCCGATAACCGTCGAAATCGAAAATGTTTTGTCTGACATCGTCTCCCACTCCCATCACGTTATTAAATTATACATATTTATCCCTTTGTGAATATAAATTTATCATTATTTGCACGCGACAAGATGAGTAAAGTTCTTTTCGCTCGCCTGAATCCTGTCTCTATCGATAATAGCCGATGAATTTAACATTGGGAGTTCGGTTCAATTAGTAATCAATTCGATAAATGCTTACCATACTTATTCAAATAGTTTTTAATAAAAGTGGTTGACCTGCAATTAAATAATTATTTACAATAACAATAACGAAAAAAAAAATTAGTTACATTTGCAAAGCTATATTTAAAAAGACTAATATTTAATAAAATTAACTTAATATTATGTTTAAATATACTAACTTTTGTTTCACCCTTTTGAAATAGTTAAGAAAATGATAAGTCGATTATTCTGGTTAATTATATCGTTTTCGTTTATGAATACTCAGCATTAATTAGTAATGTCGTAAAAGAATTAATAAATAAATTTTATATTAGGTAATAATCTATTTAAATTTAATAAGAATGGTTCGATAATTTACTTTTCGATAAGCTGCTATTTAATGGATTTTTATATGGGTAACAATTAATTTGAATAAAATATAATTCAGGATTTCATATAGTCTTGATCAAAATAACTATTATTAAAATTACGTGAAAATTGTTAAACGTATGTCAGGATGAAATTAATATTTCATATAATTACTTTCTCTTATTATCATTGATTGAAGAAAATGCTATTTTACTGACAGGGACACTGGTAACGCAACATTTCTTATTAAAATTTCATGTCGATAAAAATGCAACTCTTAGGAGCATAACTACCCAAACAAATCAACTAAATTGAATATAATATAATATATGTAGAGCAATATTTAATTAAAAAATTATGCTTAGACAACCTGGATGTAGCCTCGATTATATAAAATAAACATAATTTGGATGATACATGAATGATTCAGCGTAAATCTAAAAAAGTTTGTAAAGTGCTTGTAAAGGTAGTTGCATTATGGAAGAAAATCTCTGGGAAGTAATCAAGGCTCTGTTGATCGTGCAGCGATCGTTATGGTTTTTTGGCCATGAGCGTCATGCACCTGCTGTTGCTTTTCGACGGACTCACACGCTATTTCTTTTTCTACGCCGTACCCTCACTTCCATCGGGCCTACGCGCATATGTGTATCTCGACCGCCTGTATGTTACGTTCGAAAGTCTTTTTTGTAACCGTCAATTCAACCTCAATGAATTTTAATGTACGCGTATTACCCACCCTCTGTCCCCAATGTAAGTTAAATATCTACAATAAATTGTACAAACAATTTATAATCTATTATTGGTCTAGAAAACAAATGACGTTATAGTTTTATTAATATCCATTATTTGCTAGAATATAAATATTATTAGTATATTTGTATATATCCATTCATAAAAAGCTTTTCACTGTAACCTTATTACAGAAACAGTAGATTCAACGTTGAAAGATCAATACATTTATTATTACTGTTTAATTTTTTTAATTTCGATTGAAATTTTGATATAGATTTCATTTACATATTTTAAAGATTTTGTACTCGCAGTAAAGATTCACTATTACAAAAATAATTTGAAGAATGGAAAATAGAACAGAGTGATTGTTAAAAAAAAAAAAAAAAAAAAAAAAAAAAATATAGGGAAAGTATTTATTGATAAATGTAAAACAATGAGGAAAAAATTTTTTTTATATAATTATGTCAACAAAATAAATTCAATAGAGAATCATGGAGGGAAAATATCACGATTTCTATATAAGTGATAAATGAAAAATCGAAAAAACATAAATTCATAATTATTATGGTTTATTTGTCATTATTTGATAATTTAATTCTATTAAGAGTCTTTCATGAAATGAGCAATTATTAATCTACATTTTATTGAAAATTTTATAAATCTCAGAGCCATTATTATAAGATAATACACTTAATGAAATAATAATTAATAAAATAGCAGATTTTTAAATTTAGGGTAATTGTGATTAGTATAAGCTGGTTTGTAAAATCGCTCTTTAAAGAAATTAGATTAAATTATTTTTTTTTCAGCGAGGCTTTTTATTGATACAAATTACATTTTTAGAATAAATTAATATACATAATTATATAAAAAACATGATGATTAAGAAAACGTTGATTGCATTGCCTAAACAAATGATGATCACCAGGTAGCCAAGCATTAAAGGTCGTACAGAGATGCTATTCATTTATAATATCGTAAAATTATAGGTTAAAATTTTAAATTTATATTTGATATTACCTAATATTATATGATAACTATGGTCATTAACAAAAGTTTGAATTTGAAAAATAACTTATTGCAAAAATAAATATTTATGGTAATATATTACGGTTATTCTATGGTTGAATGATATTTGAATATTACAAGAAAACAGCATTAAACAATTCTGTGTCTTATTAATCAAATTGAATAAAAATATATAGTAAATAACATAATTTGTTAATTGTAATTTTCATAAAGTAACTCATACCTTCTAAAATAATGTGGGTTTGCGTGTTTACTTGTATTACAAAATTATATTACCTGAGTGCAATGCTTAATTTATTTAATTTCTTTTCATATGATTTACAATGTCATAAAGCTGTCTGATGGTTTACGGTGACATTTAGTTTTGTGTCATGTGCTTGAGTGTAGGCAAAACACAAAGAACTCAGATAAAATCTACCCATTTACCAGACTTAAAATTGAAAATTTTTTTAAACAAATTTAAGCGTGAAGAGGTTTAAAATCTTTAATATACTAAAAGTGCCTATGCGTAATTACTCCTTATAAAGCAAAAATCCCTGAAAATATCACAATAGCAAGCCCATACTGCAACAATAATAATGTTAAATCTAAATATGAAAATAATTGTACAAAGAATTTTTTTGTACTCGAATAAAAATTTTAATTGTTTAATATTTTTTGTGCTTTAAATTATCATTTAAATCAATACAGTTTTCTTATTATTTAAGCTTTTCAATATTACGCGTATTTTTGTTTAATGAATTGGTTTTACTATGTTATGTTTAGTAATCAAGAATGAGAATATACTTAGTTTTCCTGGCATTATTGAATAAATACTATCGATAAAATATTACAAGATAGATTTTCTTTTATACTTTAAGAATTACAAATATATCGATAATTAGTATTAATTAATACAATGAACGATAAAATTTCAGTAATTAAAAAATCTAAATGTATGTTTTCTAGGATAAGCGTTTAATATGCATAAACTTCGACTCTAAATATTCCATTATAAAACGATAAACATATCGAAAAATTCGTATCTATTTGGTGAAAAAGAATTGTTAAAAAGTATTTGAAAATCCAATTACATTTGGTGACAGCCACATTCAATCTTTGTATTTTCATTTGTTTCGTATTAACGGTAAGAACACCCCAAGGCATTGTCTTAAATGAAACTAGCAATTTAGGATGCTTTTTAAGTCATATAGTGAATGGACGTGGCGCACGCTTTCCAATTTGAAAGATCATGTTGACTTTTCGTGTAACCCATGTCTCCATTGACTTTTAAGTTTCCTAACCTGAACGAAAAGGAATACTAGGGGGCCACGATTTGTCTTGGCTATTTGCAAACAAAAAAAGAAATAAAATCTTCGTAATTTGGATGTATGTGACGAGTTGCATTTGTAACTCTGATTAACCCAAAACTTTGTTATTCTACGCGTAAACCGGAATGCCTAGGTATATAATTGAAGAGAATCGTAAGCGATTGAAAACTGAAGATTTGCGAATGAAAAAACGAGAAATGAATAGTAATGCTTTATTAGATTATTAAATTATACTATTTTTGCACATTTGTTCTTCTGACAGATATACAATACAGAATTGTATATTATTCGTTGCTCGGGCGTGTGGCATTACTTGAAGCTCTGTATTCGCTTTATTCTATCTTCGTCTATATTCTACCTTTAATAATGTAGATCTGTTTTTATCATGTACAAACACAAGTGAGGTAGCTTATGTATATTAATAGTAATACGATATTCTATACGTTTACGGTTTTTCCATATTCACGATAAATTAGTTTTCGCAAAACTCTTTTTTCCGAAAACGATTTTTTTTTTTTAACGAGTAGTTCAACGGAACGAAGTCTTTAATTACGATAAATGGCTTATAATTCGTTTCCAAGATCATTCATAGTATTTTTATATTATAAGGCTCCATTTATTAAGCGAAATTACAATTCAATGTTGTATAATCATTTGCATCCTTACCGGTGCAGCTCCTAAAATTTCTATATATAATCAAATGAAAATGAATGATTTGTTCGAGTGGGGCAATAAATTATTAAATCGTCACAATTTTATTAATTTTGAAGACCCTGGGCTCGCGACTATGGAGCTGATAATAAAAGTTGATGGGTTGGTTTGTCGAAAGTGCCATCTAGCGATACGATAATAAACGGTTCCAGCTTCTAATTAGCGGAATGTACGAGGGCGGCAAGTATTTTTTATAATTTCTCCGAGTGAACGAATACCCTTGGTGGAGCCTTACGGACTCTTCCTCACAATAACGACACTACGCGGGAGAGGGGATCGCGCAAGCGGCCTATCGTCGTCCCAGGCTGCCGCCGCCGCCGCCGCCGCCGCCGCCGCCGCCGTTGACGTCACAGCCGCTGTCGCCGCCCCTTACGCGAGTCGCTAATGCCGCTTAGCATAATCCGTTAAGGCTCGGTGTGGTGCGCGCGTTTTTCGGCGCGCATCCATCCCGCGCACCAATAGCATTCAAACCTCTGCGACGTGGTGGCTCGGAGGGCCGAAGCAGCATCGGTGACGTCGGGAGGGACGCTAGCCGGTCTCTGTTAGCTCGTTCTTGAGCGGCGGCGACCTCGTGTGCGCCGCTACCCGAACGAGACGGGAGAGACGAGAGAGCTGGGACTGCCGGTAGTTGGCCTCGTCGCATCGGCGGACGCTCGTTCGTAAGAGAGGGAGGGCAAGATAGGCCAGAATGTATCGGGTCGGCCGCCAGTGAGCATCGCGGGTTCTCTCCAAAGAGCCTCTCCTCAGCAGAGTGGGAGGACGTTACCGAGGAGCTCTTCTAGCTTCGGGTGCTCGAGAAGAAGCGATTCGAAAAAGTACGTTGGGGCGCGGGTTGCCCGCGCGTAGCGCTCCGACCTTGTGTGAGCGTGCGGGACGAGCGTGGACTGTAGAGACGAGACCGTCCCTTACACCGAGATTCGGGATCAGGAGCCGGAGGTCATCGGGAGTCAAGTATGCTGGCCGCCCAAATCTGCCGGGAGTTCCACCTGGGCGTGATCGCATCGAGGATGCAGTCGCGCGTGCCGCGATGTCTCTTCGGGCCGCCCAACTCCAAGGAGACGATGGAACTCCTGCAGGAGGCTCTCGAGACCGAGAGGTCGCGCTTCGCTAAACGCTGGGGCGTGGACCCGTTAGCCGAAGACGAGGACAAGGAGAACGGCTCGCGCAACGGTGGCGGCGTCCTCAGACTCACGCCGACTAAGAAACGCGTGAGCCCCTACGCCAAGCAGACCAGCATTCACGGTGAGTCGCCAATGCATGAACCGGTTTCCCCTTCCTCGGACCCGGGTCCGGTTGGCTTGGCTTGGTCTAACCGAAGCTCACAACTCGTCACTCCTTTTCCGTCGGCCACCACTTCGACCTCCGATTTCGTCTTTCTAAGTCATCCCCAGCCATCTTCGATTTAGCCGTCGTCGGGGACTCATCGGCAGCACCTTTGAAATCATGAAGATCCCAACATCTCTCTCCCTCCCGCTCTAATCTTCGTATTTGCATTTTATACAACTGATTGTTCACACACCTATCTATTATTTATGCCTACTTATTTGTATTTCGAATAAGCTATATAATTGCCATATATTTTTCTCTACGCTGTTCTATTCTTTATCGCGACGTCCTTGTTTGATTATTACAAATTAATACGCACCACTCACGTGTCAATTTACTAGAGGTGAAAAATATTCCCTCGCATAATCAACATAATTCGACACTCGCCTCGTTAAAATGACGAAATTAACAGGAAGCCCGCGCAAAGCGAATGAAACACGTGACACACACCGCCGAGCACAACAACCGAATATAGATAAGAAGGCGGCATTGGGTGCACATGAAACCGGCGTAGCGGCCCACGTGGTTGTCCAACTACTGCCTTACCAAATGTCCACCGAATCTCACAAAATTTTTAAATTATTTGCCACTGTTTGCAAAAAACAAAATAATATTCATGAAAAATAAGTAGTTTTGCCTATACTTACTAATCCCAGTTTTTTCATTTTACATTTAATATAACGTGTTTTTATCCAGCATATCATATTTTTATTACATATCATTAAACATAATTGCGTATATACATTACGAAGCGCCAATATTAAAAAAGAAAAAAGAAAGGAACAAAACGCTTACCGTTCCATTTATGGAATAATTTCTAGAGATGCATATAATAAAATGAAATGTGCATATATACACGCACATTGTATGGAACATTGTATGTAGAGAGAAAACGAGAGAGACTGAGTACGTAGTCAATTTCGATTACAACGCCTCGTAATGAGCACGGCTTGAAATTTTGGCGGGAAATGTGTCCAACGGTTTTTGAAGCTCATCGGGTAGCAGCGCACAGGCGCCTATAACCCTTATCTTATTTAAAAATGGCTCTAAATATTTTTGATTTAAAATTATACCAATTAATATTTTACTAATTTATTTGACTTTTAAATAAATCTTTTATATTTTACACATTTGTTGCAACTGGATTTTACATTTTTTTTTTAATTTAAACATATATTTTTGTTAAATTCATCAAGCTAAAATAATAAATACCCACCTAAAGTCATTCGATTTGCCCGTTTACAAAAAATATTAAAAACCTGAACATTATAAGCGTTATAATTAATTAAATTTCTAGTGCGTAAATACTGTAGAGGGAGATAGCTATTTCTCGACTGGCACGCACACTACAATGTTTAAAGTAAAAAAATTTCTAATAAAAATTTTAAATAATCAAATCTTACATTAAAAAATAGCCTAATACATCCATAAAATACACGAAATATTCTCACTTATCATTATGAAAATAGAAAATGATTATATTTATTAATTTACAATAAATTTCTCGATCATTGTTTACATTCTAAATTATAATCCTTTAATGCAGCTTATGACGTAAACAGATTTAATTTAGTTTTTTGTACAAAACAAAATGAACAAAATAAGTTATTTTATGTATAACTAATTTTAAATAATACAATTTTATTAATCATTACGTATATTTATGCAGAAAATATCTGTTTTACTTTTTTTATATTGCTCTTTTAACATTAAATCATTCATTTATTGTCTATTATACGATATTTAATATATAAATTTCGAGGAATTGCGAGCAAGGTCAATCATTCGATGAATCACAATTGAAAAAAAATTCTTTAAACTAAATTCTGTTAGGGATTCTAAATTTAATATTATTATAACATTTCCAACTCATTTATTTTTATGCATGTACATGCAGTTTAATTTTCATTTAACAAGGCCATGTCTTATATTTCATATTATTGTAAAATGTCTAAAATGTAAAAAAAAAAGAAAAGAAAATTCCATTACATTATTCCAGTTTTTAGTTTTTAATCATATAGTTATTTACGTATAGTTGTTCCCTATTGCTTTTAAAGGAATCAAAATGGTTTATATGTATATTCGATAGATTGAAATATTTACACATATTTTACTTTCCTTTACATAATTAAAATTGATTTATTATATAAATTCAATGTAATTAATGACGTAAAAAGATTGTTTAAGTACATAAATATGTACATTATTATTTTTTTAATCATATACGTTAAATAATTAAGAATTTAATAAAATCCATACGAATGACTAAGTTGTACCGTGTTATAATCTACTTTATAATTTTCTTGACACGCGCACGCACACGCACGCACGCACACACACACATATATATATTTGATCGGTTTGCACATGTGTTTAAAACCTTTTATTTCTATAGTTATATAAAATAAAATAGATTATTATAAAATTATAAAAATTATAAAATAATATATTATAAAATCATATAAAAATATAATAGATATATCATAAAACAATAAGCTAACAATGGGCTAACAACTGAAGAAGTATTAAAGTTTTTTTTTATTATTTTTGTTCTAAAATTTATATATTAGCCATTCATAAGCTGTCTCAGAAAATTCATATTGAAAAATGGATTACGGAAATTTGATTATTCACTGTAGCTACGTCATAACACCGTAATGGGCGCATCAGAATCTCTCACTTATCTAACATTTCAGATTTCAACTTTCGTTTCAATCATTAGTTTCTAACTCTTCCGAAAATATTTATTTCTCAAACTTCTCAGTATGATTGTGAGTACATATGATTGTGTATCCTAAACTGCATAACATGTTATCCCCTAAAATGAATAACACTGTCGTTTTTCAGACCCTATATATCCTCTAGTTATATCTTTATCGAAAAGCGCGGTATCGATAAATAATAAGAAAAGCCTTAAAAAATAATAATTTACTATTGCATATTCTTCAATTTTTATTTTTCATAATATATCTAATGAGTCCTTAAAAGTTTAAAGCTGAGTGTAAATGGTGAAAGTGAACGGCAAGAAATAAAATCGATATAAAGAAGCTTATATGGGGTTTTTAGAGTTTCATCTAGTAAGAACTTTTTTACACGGTAATATATCAACGAAATTCTGTATAACTGATTTGCAAATCGATTAATTACAATTGGTATATGGAAGAAAGGGATATTCTTTTAAACATCACTGTAAATGACATATTTCGTTCAAAATTTTGTCTATTTGTCTATTTACTGGTATTACCCGAAAAAAGTCATCAATTTCGCATCACCAATGCAAAATTTTCATAGCACAACCAAATTCGCGGAACCGTCCGGCGGTTTCCTTGGGTTTGTGCGCCCATGCAATCAGCAATCAGCGAAGCGAGACAAGACGACTTGACGACACCTGCTCTGTGGCTTCGAGGTGCGCGCACCTTCTTCTTTTCCCACGACCAAATCACGGGTGCACGCAAAGTCTGCTGTGCGAAGAGGCCACCCGGAAAGGTCGCGCAACACCTGTCGAGCCTCGCGGGCTTTTATCGCATATCGAGATCTACGTCATTGCGCCTCGGGATTCTTGGCGAAGGCCAGATTTTCCTGAACTTTATCCTTCTCAAGGAATTTCTCTGAGGATTGTCTTACCTTTTTTCATTAATAAGCGTTACAAATAATAATAATAGTAATAATAATAATAATGTCAACACGTTGACATGGATATAATTACTATTGACAAATCTATTTTACAAACAGCAAATTTTGCGACGGACCCGCATCCTTAATTTTTAAAATTGACTATCAGCCATTACTCTCATACGAAATTTTAAAATATATTTTTAATTGTATTTAACGTACTTTGTTGACATATACCTTTCTCTATGAAATATTCATCTAGTATTACAAAATCTTCATAGAAAATCTGGACAAGAAATAATTGCAATCCATTGATTTTCTAATTTGTAAAATCAATGGCAGTTTTGAACGATTTACTTCATTCTTAGTTAATATATATTCAGCTTATTTGTTTCTCTATTTGACAATTGTTTTATTTAAAAATAATTCTCTTGGTATAAATTATTTATTTATTTGTTATCAAGAACCACAAAATAATAATTGACTGATTTGTTATATTTGTTAATTATCCATTTTTAGAATAATACAGAGTCATGAATGGATCGAGAAAGGTCTGTTAAATCATGAATTATATTATGATTATAATTTGATAATATAAATTTAATTGTATTTTACACGCGTTATAGTTTCCTTTTTATTTATGTTTCAACAATAACGTTATCATTAAACGATACACGGCACACACACACATATATATATATATATATATATATATATATATATATATATATATATATATATATATAGTCATTAGAAAGATTTGGTTCCTATAGTCGTATTATAAAAAATCGATAATTCAATTTGAATTCGATCAACACCCTCCCTCTCACCTTCATCAATTCTGTCTCCTTCTTTCTATGATCACATGACAAAAAAGAAAAAAAATGAAAAACATCTGCGTATAGTTCCGACCAAGGAGCCTGCAACTATATCTGTTGCAGACAGAAGCGATTGTCCCTTCTCGATTACAGTCATGAATAAGTCCACAAAGAAAATGCACCAACTTCTTATTGAAAAAAACACAGTAAAGAAGAATAACATGAAAGCGATTCTAAAGGCAATGCAAGACAAAGAAAGCAGATGATACATTTAATGGATAATGGAGATATGCCCTGTTTTCCGAGAGTACTAAAATATATTTATGTATCCAAGACGTAATCGTTAACTGTCTCGGGTCAAAAGTCGTAAAATTCATGTGTAAAAATTGTGGGTAAAGGTACTTTATAGGACTTTGTGTTTGTACGCGCTTAACTTTTACATCTCATATGACGTTTTCCCATCCTAGGGAACACTACCAACTTTTCTTAAGCGGGAAATCGACCCTTATTTCGAGTCCGCACTTAAGGATTTTACTGCCGTCAACCCAAATGCAATGATTATTAAAGTCACTTTCACAACATTTCCCGGATACACTTTCTGTGCCTGCTTCCAATTTATTGGACGTCTGGATAACCGTAAAATTAAAAATTTCGGCGTTGGATAATATTACTTGTCGATTATGTATGCAACTCGTACGTCGAATGTAAACCGATCTATCCTGAATATATCGAACGGAAATGAAATGCAATAAAGGCATACTACGCCGTATTATCTGCCGTGTACAGTAAATCAAAACTATGCAAAGTATCTGTATATTTATTATTGTAACATATTAAAAATAATGTTGATTTTGTATTGTTTCTCGAAACCTGTCATACGATATTTTATAATCCTATTCTTCCTATGCGTAATCGCGGCAACGTTACACGAGCTTAAAAATTAGATATAAAATCAGTGCATTAATATTTAATAAATTTTAATTAATTTTAAAAACAAAATGACCGCAATTTAAGATACATATAAACAAAGGAATTATTAGGCTTGCTCCGCTTTTGTATTGCCGATGTGTGCACTCTACATTTTTCTTGGCAAAGTTCAGCGTGTGCCCAAGTGATATACAAAGAAAAAAAGAAAAAATTAAGCCTGAGCGCATAAAGAAAGACAGATGACCCCTTGTAACATAGTTCTACTTAGTTTCTTTCATTGTACGAGCGGCGAAAAGCGAAGGATAGCTTCGTATCTACAGCTCTCAAAGCTCCAACGAAATTCTAAAGGAATAGAGTTCTGTAGGAAGCTCAGGAAAAACGTTTGCGCGACGTGCTTCATGACAAAAGAAAATTTTCATAGTTACGATTGTGCGCGCCTTAACCGACTTTACAGCCTTTTATACATTATATGCTACACAATGCATGCATATATACATATAGAAGCTCGTACATTTTACTGATGGACTACCCCTTACCCCCCTATCCCTACACTCCTTACCATGCTTTCTTGCTCTTTCTTAACGCATCAGCCCCTCCTTAGCAGTTGATGACGGACTCGGGTTTTCTTCGTCAAAAAGAACGAGAGAAGACAAAAAATTGATCGAGACTCACCTGGAGCTTAAGTCGCTCGCTACCTTTATCTTAAACTTTGCCAAAAAATGATTTTTTTTAAAGCGGTTTCTTACTTTCTTCGCGTTTATAGTAAACTTCTATTGGGCTGACTTTTTACGAATTACTTGATTATGAATAATACGAAGTACAATTTCTTGTTGTTGAAGGTTTATATATAAACAATAAAGCTCTATGAAAACTATTGGATCGAGATTACGTTTACCGTGAAAAACAGTTTCCGATGTATATTTGACACTTGGTATTGCACAAGGTGTGTTCGATACATCAATGAATCATGTGTTAGAACAGGTTACAGGAAAGCTACTACGAAATTTTAAAATCCAAGATAACTATGTCTAGAGGGTGGTCTGTGCTGAGAAAGCAGATGGTCGATGTCAAGGTAAACTTAATCGCATTATAAGAATTCTATCAAATTTATTGGACAGAATAGAGATCACCTATAAAATGCCAAAGTGCAACCTAGTGAATATTTTGAGCGAATAAACTCACCAATATCTATGCTTAATTAGGCGCACACCACCTTTATTTTTATCATGTTTCTACTTCAATACATGAGCACTTTTAAGCTTTCACATCTATTCATGGAACTTGGACATGTGTTCGTGTGTGCATCAGCAAGTATATAAGATATCTACTTTCTTATACTTCATGTCTCGGCCTATTATTGAGGGTAAATTCTAGCACATATAATTGCGGTTATTGCAGATGGATCACGAAGGTACAAAAGATGATAAAAAACATCGTAAAATTTGTGAATAAATAAAAGGGATGTTGATATTTTAGAAATACAAGTAATAGTAACTTAAATATGATAGACAGGGCACCCGAATATGGTAACTGGCGTGAAAAATGAACAATCATCCTATCTTTTTAATCTTTTGTGTGTGTGTGTGTGTGTTTTTTTTTTTTTTTTAATATTCATCTTTCCTATTACAAATGGCACTTTTTCAGCCTTTTAATAAACTATTATGGTACGAAATCCCCAAGATACAATTTAAATTACCATTATTACAGTTTTACATATTTGATGTCATAACTTTTAGGCTCTAAAAGTTTTTAAAAATGACCGAGACGTTATACAATTCTTCTCGTTTTGTACATCGCTTTAATTTTAATAAATTATTATATTGTATACTAACAGTATTTTGAAAATTTTCCTTTTTTTTTTCAAAACATTCGATTCTGAATTTCGAATAGCGTATCTGCACGATTGTTGTTTTACGCAAAAAAGAATTCTGAAAACATGCTCGCAAATCGTCTCGGTGTTAAGACACACGAAAGACTCCAAAGTGAATAAAAGAAATGGTTAGCTAATAGGGTAAACCGAGGGACCATTGAGAATGGCTGAACAACGACGAGGATAGTGACGACTGATAGAAAGGAAACCATATATGTGAGTTCTAGGGCCGCGTGAGACAGCATTGAGAGAGAAACAAGATAGCCAATGACAATCCACGGAGTCCGCTGCAACACCTGCCTTATGTTGCCGGGCAAATAAGAAGCTAAAGGTAAAATGAGAAGATAGACTGAGACGTAAGAGTCCCCACGATAAACTGAAGAATAATACGGAGAACAAGGGAGGGAGAGCGAAAGAGAGAGGGAAAGAAAGAAAGTGAGGAAGAGTAAGAGTCGTGTGTCTAAAAGAACAAGCAGGATATGCGAATCAGTATATACCGTCAAAAAGAAATTTTCTTTCAAGCCCTTTCGGACGCGGTAATTTATTCAATACTAAAATTGCTCAGCAATTTAGTAGTATTTGTTCATCGCTTCAAAGTATTATTACGAAATCAGGAGGCTGTAAAAGTCGCCTTCGTGTGCAAGTTTTTTAACTGACACGAATGTCGAGAGAAATAATTGTCTATGCTCAACAAAATATTAAAATGATTGATTTAATTTGCCAGGTAAGAAAATAACTATTTTTAAGTAATGATTATGTTCATTAAGCGTTTACTTGTTCCGAGTAATATTAGATAAAGAGCGCTGTTTAGTTATATGTAGTATAACAGAGAAGCAAAACTTGAAGAAAATATTCTGAAATTGGAGGTGGAATAAGAATAAGAAGGAGGATAATAAATATGCATCTCGAGTGCTGTATTTGGTCGAAAATAAGGGCTGCAACAGAAATCTTCTAACAGTTTTCATTGTTCTTTATGGTGGAAATTTTTGTATTTTCAGCAAATACATTTGTGCCACGCAGGTTGCGTTTGGAGTCAATAGAAGCCATACGACTATCTTTTCATCTCGATCTTCCATTAAAATTAAACATTAACGGGCACGATTCTATACTAGACGTAAAACCATAATCGCTTCCCATAAATATTCAAACTCTCAATTCTAGGGTGCCAAAGATCATCCTACATATTTGTACTGTTTCAATAAAGAGGGCATTTTTAGCGTTACGACTTTTCTTTATTGTTTGTCTGAATGCAGAGGAATTTTCGCTGAAGGCAAGTTGCAGCGCGAGATGATGACAAATGATGCTTCCATCCGAAAATCCATTTTTATTGAGAAGTTCTTAAAATTCTATAACAAAGAACATAGTTCTTTCATTATGAATTATAAACCTACAGTGTAGACAAAAATCAATAAGCTTTTAAAATGTTTGAAAAATGAATTTACTTTTAACACTACAGATTATACCCCGTAGTTTATTGTAAAATAAATTTCATTTGAAAATATTTTCCAAAATAGTGTACATACAGCTTAGACTATTTTATTTTTCTGTTGCAGATTATTGGCGTTCGCGAAAAATTTGTGATACTGGCAAAAAATCCAATTCCGTTGCCTTCATAGACGTGTCAAAAAATCAGCATCAACAACATCTATTATTGCTACAGCAACAACTACAACAGCAACAGCAGCAACAACTACAACAGCAGCAACAATCTCAGCCGCATCAACAAAACTTTATTGATAAACTGCAATCATCAACAAAATAATTATTTGTATTCCATTCTCGAAAATTTTCGCTACGGTATCGTGCTGGATATATTTTATTCAATACTTGCATAGTTATATAAATTGCGTCTTTTTTATCACATTAAAAAAATATCGTGTAGAACAAACGCCCTCTTTCAGTTGCGATAATGAAAGAATCAATTAGCCTGTCGAATACAATCATCTTTAATCACACTAACGATCATTTAAAAAAATTCTTTGTTAAGAATTCGAAAATTTTTAATGAAACTTGTTTGATGCGACTTTGTGAGTATCGAGAAAATTAGTAAGAGATTAATTGGAAGCAAGTACTTTTTGTTCTGACGTTTTGGATATGTATGGTAAATCTTTACTAATTTATACTATCCGTAACAGTAGTTTTCTAGTTTGAAAAGAATTGGAATTATGTTAAAAGGACAATTTTTATTTTTAAAATCAAGTTGTAAAAAATCATGTAACGTACCATTTGATAGGACGTTTATTATTTACCAATCTTTATAAAAAATTCGAAATTGAACTATTTAACAAGAGCAGTGTGAAATTTTTGGCATTTATTATCTCATCTGGAAATTAAATTATTTATGGAAGGATTTTTAAACGAGTTAGCGAAGAAGATAAAAATAATAATCAAAATGAACTATTTGTTAGTTTAATGGTCGTTTCAGCATAAGTGAAATGTCCATCTTTGTGCCAGGGATTTCATATTCGTATAAAAATTGTAAATAGTGCACAAATTGACGAATCACACTGTTCTTGTTAGTAATATATCACAGAACTATATAAGTATAGCATCGGTTTTAGCGAGATGATATCGTACCGTCCTTTTACTAAAATCGATAGCTCAAATCAATTGATTATCATATTTGTAAAGTTCCTCATTGGAAAATACACTTAAGCGACCTACAATGATATTCGCCGGAAGCCTGAAAGTGTTAATTCCACATTGGAGTGACAAATGCAGCGCCTCCAAAGACTAATTAATAAATTTTATGATATCGAGCGCCTACACTCGAGATTACTTAAAAATAGCACACGCTCATCTGTACAATCTATACTATTAAATTTAAGAAAACAATCTCTAGTCAAATACTAGATTAGGATTCACTTAGCGAATAAACTATTATATTTTTATACATGCACATTGTTATTTTTATTTTCATGCAATTCCTTGCTTTTCTTCATACGTATTGTAACTTTAAACTGTAATATTATAAAGTTATTTTAACGCTAGAAGCCATTAAAAAGAAGGTATATTTACAACTAAGGCTTGATTGAATTTTATATCACTTGAATTACAGAGTCACTATTTAACATTTAAACGTTTTTTCATGTTTTAATGCAATGCTTATAATAATCATGTAAAGGTTTTAAAATTTGAAGTTAAATTAATATTTAAATTAATTGATTATTACCCTCCACCAAAGTATTAAAAATTTATCTAAAATTTAGTAAAAAAAAAAGTGTAATTATAGTAAAAAAAATTTGATAAAAGTATTTTATATCAAAATATGATTTAATTCCTTCAATAAGCTCAATTTTAAGTAATAATAATGACCATTCATTCATAAACAGATTTTTTTAATGAAATATTGAAATAAAAATAAAAGGTTTTGATTAATTTGTTCAATATGATGTGCTTATAAATAATTTCATAAGTACATCGAAGTAAAATCACCCCAAGCGACTAAAATTACAAAATGAAAAAAATACATTCCAACTACATGTACCAAAATAAATATATTTAAAATTAAATTAAAAATACTTGTAATTATTAGATATGAAAGTATTTTTTAAGAATTAATTAATTACTGAGATACAAAGTATTCGGGCATATGCAAAGAAAATTTATAGAGATTATGAAACTAATTGCTCATACTTACCATACAACTGTCGAATCTGCAATATCAATAATAATCTTGATAAGGATAATTTCATTTGTTAACAGATCGAAATCATTTATTAAGAAATGGTTTAGACTATTACGTACATTTTGTTCAGTTCACTTGGGCATTTTGTCCTTATCAGCTCTTGTGCTTAACAAAGATGAGCTTCCACATCTTTCTCACTATTAATTATTGTCAGATGCTTGGATTTGAGAAAATGAAAAAAAAAGGACAAGTATTGTTAGAGCACATTTATACAATCTAATATTTTTGCACTATATTTAATAATTCAAGTAAAATATTAAAAGTTTTACATTATAATTTAATTGTTAGTGTTTAATTTGAAACCTCTTGATGATAATTGAGTTAAATGAACAAATATATAGTACCGATTACTGCTAATTCTATAAAAATGCCATTTAAATTCTTCACCGTTAGAATTAACGAAAAAGAAACTTTATAGTCTAGTGTTATAAGATAATTTACACGAAAACTAAAAAAAATTTAATCATTTGACGTTTCAATGATTCTCAAAAAACGCCAAAAATAACGAGAACAAAAGATTTTCACCTGTTAACCAAATTATTTTTATACAACTTTATTTAAATAGAATTAAAAGAACATTGTTATTCTTAATTAAATCAGCTAAGTCAATTTCTAACAGAGCAATTATGCTAATTAACGCGGATGAAACGATTTTTTTTTTGTTTTTGATAAAAATCCGATAGGACTACTCGATATCATTAGATATAGTAAGTCACGTATCAAGTGATAAGAGTGTGATAAGTGATATATGCAAAGTAATCGAAGTGAAAGGCTTCGGCATATGGAATAAGATTTCACAATTGTAAAAGCCGATTAAATAAATGTTTGATAGAAGTTTCTGACTCCGTCGAGTCTTGTCACTGCAAAAAATGAGGTGAGATCGCAGCTGGCAAGAATAACCTTCGTGACCGCCTAAAAGGAGCAGCTGGTTTCGCTATTATCATCAAAGGCCGTGGGGTGGCTTTTCGATCTCGTGCCATCCGACGGTCTGTATCGCGTCGAAAAATCGGCGCTAATTAGCCAGCCCAACGTACTGCTCCACCTGGAATGGGGAAGGCAGAGGCGCTAAGCGAGGGGTTAGGTTGCGGGCGGGGGTGTCGGCGGGCTCGGCTCGCCTAATTACAAGTCGTCGATGAGTCGGTCTCGGAGCCAGAAAGGCTCGAGGGTTGTGGCCGCAGCTGGTCGGATCCAAGTCGGTCGGTCTGATCAGCCCTTTCACTTTGGACCGAACAGCCGATGACTGTTCGAGAGCTCGCGTGGGGTCGAGCTCCGGGTACTTCCGCGATCTGTGCGCCCGCGTACCAGCAACCGATTGTCGACCCGCGGGCTAGAGACTTCAGCTGCCTATTGTCGCTGCGGTCGGTAACCCGATCCGTAGGTCCACTTTCCCCCGGATAACTTGAGCCGGCCCACGGATTTCCTTTCCTTTCAGAATCTCATACAAACATGTAACGATCGCTTCGTCGCTTCCTCGGCCTCTTTACCAGCGAAACCAAAAGCGCATGCTCCAAGAGGCTTTTTCCTATTATATTTCTATTATATTTTACAAAGCTGCGTAATTAGTGGCAATCAATGCAATTGAATGACATGGATTTAGCGAATCGAGCCTTTACATGGAGTCGTTAAAATACATTTTATACATGTTTCTACAGCTTCAGTTACTCGCGACTAGCGTTAAGTAAGTTACAATTTTCCTTCGTGCTTCACGCTTACTTCTGTATGACTTTGTTAACATCTACAACGTTGAGTATGATGGCATTTCAACGAAATATATTAATTTACAACATATGCATTTTACAACAAAATATGTCGATCTTCTATATTATAAGCAGTGTTAAATATTTAAAATAAAATCTTGATAAGTCTCTTTAATTCGTATATTATTGAACCTGAATTCGTTTTATACTCCGCCTACTGCCGTAAAGCTAAATCGATCCATCAAATTTCGTTACCATGATACAATAATGATAACGCTTATTCATTCAGGAGGCGCAAAGTAAGGTGACTTACTTCTTAGCAACTGTTTCGCTCCAAGCTACCTGAATATCAAATAAATAAAACAAGTCCTTTAAATTGCGCAAAAGTCAAGTATTATGTCGATGAATATTGAAGTCACTGACAGTACGTGCAGTGAAAACAACCAGGTTAGCTATAAAAAGTGCCGAGTACTTAAATTATTATTTATTAGCTATAAAAGTGCCGACTAAATAATAATAAGATTAATTAAATAATGTAAATTCTAATAAATCGGACAAAAATAATTTATATTATATTCTTAAATATTATATTATATTATATAATATAATAATATATTATATTCTTAACAATCGAATAAATTATTATTATTATTCGGGAATTGTTAATATTTTATTTTATTTAAGGCGCAGCTGGTCAGATACCAACATAATTATAGACTAGAATCGAAAAATGTATTTAAATTGGAGAGAGTGGAGAAGCTTGTCAAGACGATTATGAATGATAATTTAGAAAGTTTCTCTTACGATTCCAGTCAATGTATCAAAATGTGTTTCGATACTGCAGCGAAAATTCGACAAAAAATTCATGCACTTAAATTTGATAGGTAAATTAGAATTATTAAAATGTCACGAGCTTTTACTTTTCAAATTCAAAGATTTCTCATCACCATTCTCATACTCGAGATTTTTAACGCAATTACAATACTCCAAGAAATTGATCGCTCTCATTCGTGTCTAGATGTATTCATTTGACCATCTGACTTGAAAACGATGAACTTTATATTCATAATAGTTTGTTCGTTTAAAATGACAAATATATTACCACTGGCCATTCAATAATATAATTCATAATAACATTGAAAATATATTTATATTACAATCGTAAAATGAATTGAAAACGAACGAGTAACGAATATAAAATATAAATAATTCTTTACATTTTTTATGGCAAATATTAAATTTTTATAAAATTCTTTTCCTTAATTTGTTGAATGACTCATCTATCCTTAGAGATATTTAACAGTTAGAATTATCATTTTCATATATATTCTAAAATATAAACTATCGAATTTTAAATGGCTTCTATTAAGTTTTTAATATGACAAATTTGTCAAGTTCTTTTACTAATATTATTTGTACATTAAATTAATCAAATTTTCAAAATTTGTTTTTATTTATGATAAAAATGTAGCAAATATACAACACATGAGACTATAAATTGACATTGTGGTAACATAAAATTAATTTCAAAATAATAAATACATTAGTATTTTTTATTTTAAAAATATTCTTAGAGTTAAATGACCAGATCTCCGTTTATCTTCTATTACAACTATAGATTTTATAATCTTTGACGTCAATACCGATAAATTGTATATATCAATTTTAATATGGTTTTTTGCATAATATATGTACAATATATGCAGAACGGATTGTATCAACATATCTTAATACTATTATATTATTTTTCAATAAAATTAAATTACATATGTTTTCTATCTTTTAAGCATTTTAATGACATAACTAATTCTCGTAAATATAACATCATTAAATTGGTCAATTTAAATATACTTGAAATTTAAATAAATTTTAAATTAAAATTGAATTTTAGATATATTCTAGACTTTATGTAGTAAAATAAAAATTTTAGTTTGTTTATATATATATATATATATATATATATATTAATCATGGTACTATTTTTATAATAGTTATGAAAATTATTATTTTTTAGGTATAAATTTGTTATAATCTTTAGTATTGTGGAGAAAAATAGTCAATCAATGTATGCCGCAATGGGATTTCTCTGGGATTATCAAAGAGATAATTATATCACGCATGTCTTCGAAGGGCGAACTTTTTCTGCCTACTGTTGTGTATTTGCTTTATATTATGAATGATGCACAATGTATTTAAAACTGAGGTAATAGAAAAATTAAACGTTGTCATGAACATTTATTAATGACTGTTTCCTTATTGTTTATCGTATACATATATATGAAATTCTTGAAATATAGAATATATAAAATTTCCAATTTAATTTCTTTTTAAGTAAAAATATATATTTTATCACAGTGAATATCCATAATACATAATTATCTCCAAAATTTTGGTGCATTCAAACATAACAATAGAAAGAAAGAAAAAAAAGTAAAAGAATTACAAACGTTAACCAAGTAGAATATACCAGGTGTGGAGAATATACAATTTTATTAAGTACCAAAAATACAAAATAGATTGCTTTATAATAGATTAGAGAAATAGAAAAGAGCTAGATTATTTAAATAATCTATTTTTACGCTGGAATTGTGCCAAAGAATTAGTACAGTGAGAGTTTTTGAAGAATTTTATGTGATACAAGTCTTTATCGGTTAATACAAACTATTGGGCCATTTGTTTATTTGCGTATCATTTCTTATCCTTCTCTTTTTTCGATTCCTCATAAGCCATTTCAATCCATTTCAAAATTAACATCCATTTCGAGAAATTCAATTTTCTTATTCTTCAATCACAATAAGTAAACAAAAGTATTTCATCTGAAAAATGCGACACAGTATGATTAAATGGTTGCTTTATATACTATCTTGTATTTATAAGTTGGTAAAGAGGACATTACATTTTAATTGAGATAAATATTGCGTTTAATTTCTTTATGATGTGTTATAATACAATTATTAAGTAAAATAACCGGTTTATATAAACAGAATATTGTAAAATTTTGCCTTTAATAAATTAAATATTTTAAATTGCACTTAAATTAATTATATTCATTAAACATATAAATGCCTTGTTTTTATCTTGCACATAAAAAAGGAAGAAAAACAAGATAAAAAAATGCCATGATTTATTACTTTTTATTCCTGAAATGATGAGTAAAAAACATCTAAAGTCAGTTTAACAAAATTTTTTATATTATACTTAATATCATTATTTTCTGTATTTACAATAGATGCATTATATTAACTCTAATATTTCATTAAATTCCGATATTCTATTTAAAAAATCATTCGTCTCCCAATGATAGAATAATAAATGGTAGTACAGTAACGAAAGTTCTTCTTTTGATAATATTATTTATAAAATAAAAAATATTGTCGAAATAGTTAATCAGTATAATTTGTAAATTCGCTTGAATATGAATTTATAATATATATGCTATATATATATAGTAAGCGTTCACTTTCACAGTTTCCCATCCAATATTTCAAGAAAATTTTTCATCAGAATTTACACGATCACAATCAACGGGAAATATACAACACTCTATTCGCGTATATATGAGAATAAAGGCATCGGTGGGCCAAGTGTTCCCTTTGTTTTCGAAACAGAGACGGAACAAAAGACGTTCTATATACGAAGCTTATCTCTCTGTTCTTTTCACGACTTTAAGAAAAAGCAGGTCGTGCAATTGATTTGCAGCTGGTCCTCCACCAAAATATTGTCTTGTGTCCACTACGGCGCGAAGTAACATGTGCGATCCTCTTTAACACGAGAGGCGACAAGAGTCGCGTGCGTACGACAGCCCATTCAAGGATTAAGAATAGAGCCTTCGCGTCCAACAGATGTGAGCTATATTCCTTCCGGTCACTCGGACGTCGCTATTACGTACGT